CACACACACACACACACAGGCAGGCATGCATGAATGCATGCATACGACACACACACAGGCATCCATGCATACGTACCTATTTGCGTGGTACGTACCTAATTGCATACATACATACATACATACATGTGATGTATCTATCTGCGTAGCTGTCCATCTATCCTATCTATCCGTGTATCCGTGCAGGCACCAGTGCATCCGTCTATCCGTGCATTCAGGCATCCATGCATCCGTGCATTCATCCAGCCCTCCATCAATCAATCCATCCATTCATCCATCCATTTATCCATGCCATGCTCGTTTGATTTGACATATGTGTTTATATGCAACATACAGTGACGGAAGTGACGAGGGCCGGAACCCTGCAACAGCCAACTGTCCGGAGGAGGAACGTTGCGCAGGTGCTGGGAGCGGAGCTTTTTCTGGTGTCGACCGAGGCACGGGGAAGAACCTGATCCGAAAGCCCCAAACTCAAGCATTTCTGAACCTCTGCAGCAACTCTAAGCCCACTACTTATGTCAACACCTCGGAGCTTTCTCGGCGGCCTGGTGAGACAGTGTAGAGGCCCTGAACATCACGTGACGCTGTGTATGCTTTGTTCGACTCAAGGACCATGCCTAGATTCAGCATGGACTCCTACACCCCTAATCCCTCATGATCTTGTAGTGTCTTCTCGGCATGCAATACACCAAATCCAGAATCCACGTTGCAAGCCTGTCATCTTCTTAGCTAGTAACTTCCAAACCCCCACGCCCACAATGACGCGATCGGTCCTTCATCATAGTCCTTGTCTCAAGCCTCTTGAGCCCTAAACCCCAAACTCTAAACCCTCCTAAACCCTCCTAAACCCTTAAACCCCAAACCCAAACCCGCAACCCCTGAGCCCCAAACCTTCAACCCTAAACTTCAAACCCCAAACCGCAAACCCCTAACCCCAAAAACCCCTGAGCCCTCGTCTCCCGATCGCCCTAAACCCTAAAGCCCTAAACCCTAAACCCTAAACCCTAAACCCTAAACCCTAAACCCTAAACCCGAAACCCTAAAGCCCTAAACCCTAAACCGTGAGGCCGGAGAGGCCCAAGTGTCGGGCTTCCAGCCCTGGCGCCGGGTGGTTCTGGACGCGAACTCCGAGGACCCCCAGAGGCAGAGGAACCCCCCTAAGTTTTAAAGAGGCTGTCTCCTTTAAGGGGCTCGCCCTTAAGGGGTTCCTTGTGTCGGGTGGACGGGGTTTGGCGGAATTTTTATGGGGGGGCATTGGGGGTTTATGGGGTTTTTGACCTTCGGTTTGCCGGGAGATTGTTGGGTTTCTGGACGTTCGGACCTGCAAGGTGGACGGAGGATGGAGGAAATTTGGGGGCTTGGGGGGTTGTGAAAATTGAAGGTTTCAGGGTGTAGGATTTTGCGGGGTTCAGGACTTCGGACTTGCCCAGAGGCCACGGCGCCTTCACTTAACCGTGTGCGGTTGCTGTCGCGGGCATGGACAGCGATTTGATGTTTGCATGTGCTTTCAGTGTTGCAGTTGTGTGAGTCGCCAGGGCATCTTGCGGCAGCGTAGAAAAAGCCTTTTGCACATCTTGCGTGCTCTGAATACATGCTGTTTGTGCCTATCGTAGTAGATATGGCTTTCAATTATCCCGGCGGAGCTGGAAAGGCAGCCAGGTCTTTGTGTTGTGTTCTTGTTGTCCTCTGTGTGTGGAAGGTTGTGCCTTGGTTGCAGCTGGAGGGCTGAAGTGCTTACACTCAAGACGTAGACGCACGCACAGAACCTCGGAGCTTTACTGCTACTGCTACCCGGTGCAGTCCGAGTGGAACTCGCGACTTGAATGAACCTCGCGACTTTCTGTTCCCCCGCAGCCTTTGAAGCATGCAACCCTCCCGAGGCTCTAAGCGACAGAGCACGGGAGCGGTATGCTTGTTCTTTCTATTCACGAACGACTTCAACCCCCCAAACCACCCTAAACCTTGAGCCGTAAAGCCGTGTCAGACCTCCAAAAGAAGGGCCGTAAATCCCCTCCCAAAGAAGCTATGCCCTTGAGAGGCATCTCGAGCAGTTTCCGGGCTGGAGGGACGTCTTTGAGATTGAAGGCTCGGGAGGGTTTGGGGCTTAAGTGATTAAGGGTTTGAGGGTTTTGGGTTGAGGGGTTGAAGTTTAGGGTTTTGGGTTGATGGAGAAAATCCGGAGACGTCGGACGCCGTCGACGGTTCAGGGCGCAAGGTTTACAGCGAGGGGTTTGGAGTTGACGGTGTGTAGAGTGGGTCTTCGGTTTAGGCGCAACCCTAAACCCTAAACCCTAAACCCTAAAGTAGGCAACTTCGCCGGCGGCATCTTCTTCCCTGGCTCGGGGTGGTTCCAGGTGCGCAGCCTCAGGCCTGACCCGTATGTTCGGGAGAGCCCAGGAGGGTTTCGGGTTTAGGGGTGGAGAGGTGTAAGCTTTTGGGGCTTTGGCATCTGGGTTTCTGATGATGGTTTAGACAGGGATTGCAGCGCTCAGTGACCATATCGACAGGGTGCAGACAAAGGTGTCATCTCCACACTTTCCTGTTCTCCTCCGAGGGGCTCGGGCCTTTCAGCTTGGGGCTTCGGGTTAGTTCACTCCTCCAGGGTTTTCAGCCGTCCAAGCCCGTGATGTCCGTTTCGGAAAGCTGTCGAACTGCGAGATCCCCGGTCGGCGCGCACAGAAAGAGAAAAGGCTGCACTGCTGCTCAGACTCTTTGCCGCTCTTCCCTGTGAGGCGCTGCAAGGAGCTCATCGACGAGGAGGAGCATGTGAGAGGGCAGCTCGGCTCGGTCCTCCGGTCCCATCTGGGGAGCTCTCTCAAGGCTGAAGATGGAGGTCCCATCAGAGCATTAGGAAGTTCTGCTTTAACCTGCTAATCGATTTTCTGAGAGTTGTTCAAAAGTCTCACTCTGAGTGCGGCTCGTACGTCTGCATAGTTTTGTTGCTGTCGCCGTTGTGGTGAAGACTTGTACTTGTCCATTAGAGCTGCATCCTCATAATTCTGTTTCCTGTCATTGCAGTTTTTGGGTTAGAGTTGATATGCAAACACGCGATACACCCCAGAATCCCCCAGGTATCGATATCGGCATGTTGTCCTATCGCGGTTCGACAACATGTGGCTGGAGCCCCATCCAGCGCTGCCGGACGGCCAGGGCTGCTGGATCCCCTGGTGGCTTGGCTTCGGCTCCGTTTGATGCGGGTTTAGGGTTTAGGGTCCCTATAGTAAGTTGACCCTAAACCCCAAACCCTAAACCCCAAAACCCAGTTTTTTTGCCTGAAGAGGAGTTGTTTGGCGGAACAAGTTGGCTCCGAGGTTGCAATCTTTCTCCCAAGCCCCAAACCCGAACCGGGCTCGAGCATTTACACCCCTTTCCTTCAAACTTCAAGTCCCAAGGAGAGTTGCAAGATTTTTTGGGGGCGGTTCGCAGGCTCGAGTTGGGCGTTCCTGGTTTGCGTGGAGCTCGCAGCCATCAGCAATCCAATTTAAAACAAAGGTTCAGGGTTAAGGGGGTTGACCGGTAAGTAGTTTCTGGTTTAAAGTCTAAAGGATGTTTCGACGTGTTGAAGAAAAGCAAGGTCCAAGGCAACATGACCTTCAGCATGCACATTGTTTCAACTGGACGAGGGTGGTTTCTTCGCACGGTCCGGACGGCTTAGGTTCACGATTCTGGTTTCATGTTGCGGCGGATGAGGACCTACAGTCACAGATGTAGACTTCGAACTTCGACGAGAGACGACCGGAGTCCAAAAAATAAGGTACCGTGGTGGCAATGACTGGGGCGGCTTCAATGACCACCATGCTCCCTGATTGCAGCTGCACAAGGCCTGGGCTCTCTCAAAGGCCTAAGGCAAAATCATGGCCATGTCTGGGAAATCTTGGGCAACGTAGATGGGCTTGGTCTTGAAAAGTGGGGCAACATCCTGGGACGTCGTGTGAGAGCATTAATTAAGATTCCTCCGGCGACTCCCGCCACGCCACAGTCCAGCAAGGGAGTAACGTCTTGCGTTAAACTCCCAAAAGCCGAAAACTCTAAACCGCTGGGAGACCTGCGAAGCTGAAATCTTTTCAAGGCTTTCTGTGACCGACGAAGCGCGGAGGTCTACATGAAGCTCGGCCTGTCACGCAAGGGTCCTCTGCCTAAAAGGTCCTGCGGTAAGGATCCTACAGTCTACAGCTCACGGTGTATGAAAACCCCAGCTTGGGAAGCCGCGTGCATCCGATTGTTCTCGGGGTTGTCGCTGCGTCTCGTGCAGCCTGTGTGCTTGGCCTGCGGCGTCACCGGAAATCCTGACAGTTCGACTCTCTCTCTCTCTCTCTCTCCCTCTCTCTCTCTCTCCCTCTCTCTCTCTCTCTATGAGTTTTTTTATTCACCACCTGAGCCCAAGCGCTCTGATTCCAACGGGCCTTTGAGAATCAGGCCTGGGGATGAAGACTTATTTCCACAGTGCGGAACAAGTTTCCTGTCAGTCGTTGTTGCCCCTTCCCGAGCCTTGGGCATGTGTCTCTGAAAGCATGTCCTGAACAGCAACCTGGTGCAGCCATAGCGCGGCTCCGTTTCGGAACCGACCAGGACGTCTTTGGAAACGGGTCCGCAGCTCCCGTGTCAGACTATTGTCATCCAGCTGGCTAGCTGCGCATGCTGGCAGCTCATGCAAACCTTGAATTGGCCAATCGCCGAGCTGTGAGGACGGTGATGTCTGCGTGCATCGGAGATGCCGTGTGCAGGTTTGTGGGAGGCGCGAGTCAGCCAGTGGCGTGCATTTGTGGCTTGCAGAAATCGTGTTTCGACCGTCAGGGCGCTCCGACTCTGTGAGTCGGCGAAACCGGGGCGCAAAGGCGAGTAAAGGCTTCGCATTTGACGCATGACTAGCGCTGCCCTCGTGCGCTTCCGCGCGTCTGCGTCACAACTCCGCAGTGGTTGTAACAATCGGCCAAGGGCTGATTGTCAAACGAGTTTCCGTTCCGATCATCGTCTCAGTTGGCTTTCAATTGTTGTGGGCCCGCTGTCATCGAGTTGGCTGCGGCCTGTCTGGCCTGGAGCGTGCTTTACAGAGCGTCAAGCGCTGGACGCCAGCTTCAGCCCCAGTGGACGTGCTGACCTCCCAACTGTCACGTCTGCTGTCTCGGCCTTGAATCGGCAAGCTTGAATGTTCAGCTCGCTGCCACAGCCTCCACCCAGCCGACTCGACCGCCTGTCTCAGTGTATGCAGTTGGTTGCGGCGTGCAGCTAGCTCAGCATGTGGCCCTGTGTATTGGGCCTCCTGGATGGATGCATTGCCCATACTTCGAGCCCAAAGCCTAGAGTTCGAGCACAGCTGCCGGCGTATTCGGGTCGTGCGTGTACCGGCATACCATGCAAGCAAAACCAGGTTCGAGGCTACCAGTGTCATGCCACGCGGAAGCGCAACAGCCAATTTCGCGAACACGTGCAGCTGGCTGCCTTGTGCCCGGCGTCTCAGGCGATGTTGCAATCGCAAAGCGGGGGCCTAGCGGGAGTGTTACTGCGGTCGGAGTGAATGCACTGTTTTGCAGAAGGTGACGGCGCGACTCCGCGTTGCTGAGACGCTGCGCAGACCTAGCTTCACAGACCCCAGAAGCCAGGTAGATCCGGGTGCTTGGACTGCCACCCGCAAGGTGTGAACAAAACGCAAGCCGGCCAAACGCAACTTCTACACCCACGTGCCATCAACAAATCCGAGTTTTCGATGACAGGATTCATTGAACGTGTTCCCTTACGAATGGCTGTGCCGAAACGTGATGTAAAAACAGGTCAGCGCCATAACGCGACAGGGAGACAAGGGGTGTGACATATAGTCCGCGGACCAGTGTGCTTTCTCCCAGGCACTGCCGCCGAATTCGGAGATGCCTGGCGATAGCCAACCACCTTCCCCCCAGCGTTTGATATTTGCCCGTATGACGACCGCACGCAGTTTTTCAATCGGGCTACGATATTGTGCCATGGGGGCGTCATTTGGGTTGCGCCGGCTGTTGAGTCTCGTTTCCCGCGCCACGTGGGCTTTTCAAGCGATCCGTTTGCAATTTAGATGTGTTGTCGAATTGTTCTCTGCTGGTAAGGTTCCAAGCCATGCGAAGTAGTTAACAGTTGCACGTCTCAAACGGCCGCCGCATTTCGTATACTCTACGTTTCCCAGTTGCTTTTTGAACGGAAATTTGGAACTTGTGTCTTGCGCATGGCAGAATATCGAATCTGCTGCACACCATGTTGCTTTCGCCTTATGGACATGGACATGGTAGGTCATGTGTTGCCCACCAGAATGCCTCAGTTCCGAAACCTTACCGCCTGCCCAGAGATTCGTTGCCCCCCAAGGACCGGTCGCTACGACTCCATCACCGACACGGTGGCACAGCGCAAGCTAAGGCTCGGGGCCTTCGGGGGCTGATGGGACTCCAGAAACTATCCATCCTCGGTCACTTAGCCGACGTAAGCGTGGCCAGGGATTGGTACGAAAGCTGTGGGAAGTTCACGTATCCGGAGAGCTTGAATGTGGAGAAGCACATCCGGTACATCTTGGAGAAGGCTCGTCCTGGTGTTCCTAACGTACACCTCCACTTCCTTCTCGCTGCCCGATGTTAGGGAGATCAATGCTCGGCCTACATTATGATCGTCACCAAAAACCATACCTTCCGGTATGCATTTTCGCATGGTCCGGGGATGTCAGTTCTCCTGTCTTCCCAATACGAAGAGATTGGCAAGACCCATTTTTGCACAACGGTTTCTCTTAGCCACCCTACATCTTTGCAGATGTGTTCGTTTTTTTTCAACAGCAATGGGGATTTACCAGCGACTGTAACGACAAGTAGCATGAAATAACGACAAGCAGCAATATAATTGGAACGCTTTTTCGCAACCACGACAAAAAGAACCTGGTATTACAATCGCCGCTATTGCTCCTGCTCCGCTTGCTCTTCCTCCTCCTGCTATTGCTGTCGCTGTTGCTGTGATGACGGCGGTTATTACGACGACGACAACGACGGCAAGTACAACAGCTACACTACGAACTCCACGTCTACCGCGCCGTGTCTGACTGTTGTCGCAACCACTCCGGCATGTGTGCAGCCAGCGGGCTATAAACGGACGGGCCTGTAGCCGCAGAAGGCCCGGGGCTGCTGCTCACGCAACGTCCAGATGATGCACAGAGCCCCCCGGCGCAGATGCCTTCTATGCACCCGCCGTTGCTGTGTTGCACCAACCGTGGCCCGTAAGGCAAGACGCAAACGCTGCGGCTAGAACCGTTGCAGAACCGAGGCTCCGGCGTGCGTGTTTAGGGGCGCGCACTCCTGAAGTGGGTGCGGCGCAGTGTGTTAAGCCAAGGCGGGAGGCATTGAGGGACTGGCTGCAGGAAGAACGGCGAGCTGGAGACCTGGGGCCGGGAAGGCGGGGACACTCGGGAGCCTGTGCAGCCGGGGCCAGCGCACTGGCACTGACAGAGGAAGGCAGGTCGCAGCGGAAGGGGCTGGGCTCAGGTGGCGTGCCGAAGGGGTATAGGAACGCGGGGCAGTGGCGCCAGTTGCACGCGCCTCTCGCGTTCTTTTTGCCCGGCGCGGTTGCCGCGCCGGCACCGCACCGGTTCGCAGGAGCAGCCGGGCCCGAGTTGGAGTTGGGCGGCTCGGACTCGAGGCGCTCCTGGCTCTTTGCGGCTGCCCGCGCCTTCGCTGCAAGCCTGCTCTCCCTGCCCCTCGGCGGCACGGCTGATGTCCCCGTTGCTGAGCGACATCCTTGCAGAATCCTCCCTGGAGCCGCCCCTTGCCAGCCGCCTGCCCGAAGTCGTGTAGCGCGCAGTCGGCCTGGTTTGGGCTTGCACTAGGACCGCGTAGCCTGGGACGCTGGCATAAAGGTGTGAAGAAAAATCCTTGGCACGGTCAGAATGGATTCTCACAGGAGCCTTGCCGTTTGCCACTGCCGACAGTTCGTTAAAGATGGCTTGCACACCACTTGGGACATTTGACCAGAACCTGCGATGCAATGGTTGCACCATCCTCCAGTCGAAATACACCTGCCAAGATGTGTTGGGAATCATCGTATGCCCCTTTCACACGCGCCAACGTCTTCTTCAAACGGCATGGCTACATGTTGCGTGGTCTGACCATCGGGACAAGCTAGACCCTGAATATCATCCCCGAAAAAAATTCCTTATCCTGCTGGTCCCCATCAAGCATATGCTCCCTGAACACGCCCTCCCCTGTCGTCGCGTCTGCTGCCCGGGCCTCAGAGTCCTCAGCAGACGTGTCTAGGGAATCTTTAGAGCTTGGGGATGGTGCATCATGCAATGCAGCTGCTGCTGCTGCTGCTGCTGCTGCTGCTGCTGCTGCTGCTGCTGCTGCTGCTGCTGCTGCTGCTGCTGCGTACGATGGAAATTGCAACTCAAGCGCCTCTGCTCCTCAGCTGAAAGCTGATGCCCATTTCGGATGACATAAAATGACAACGACGTTGGATTTCCCTTCCAGGATGTTGTTCCATGCCATTTTGTTGGATATAACTGCTATAAGTGCACAGGATTCCTAAGCACTGGCATGACGACAACACGAAAATTCAAGTTCAGCTTCACCTGTCACATCTGATTTCCATCCTCATGCTCAACCCATAACTTTCCACCGTTGCATTGTCCTGTAGGGTTAAAACTACAAGCGCATTCTGGGAACTTGGAGCATTGTTGGTGTCGCTATGGGGTGTGAAGGTCACATCCTTGGACGCCGTGAATGACGTCCATGTGGCACCGGGCATTGATTAATGCTAGCAGATTGGGAAACTGATCCATCCGAGTTGTGACCCCACTATGCCATGGCCGTTTGCACCGAACACCCCGGATTTGACATGCCCTCGCCTTTCTCTCAGGTTTCAAATCAGCCTTCAAGACCGCCTCGAAGATGTGATCGTAGCTGATGTGGTCAACTTCAGGAAACTTTCCGCGACCCTTTCCCTTATTGAGGTGTTAGTGTCTACACCCTTTGATGCGCACTCCTTGGCCCTCGGCCCCGCACTCAGCTAGGTCCTCAGGCGTCACAAACTGGTTCACGGGCACACCTGCATCACTGGTGATCGCACAGCAACCCCTGTTACAGTTCCGAAATGCAGCTGCAAGCTGTTTGCGAAGATATGCAAACTCAGACCAATAGATGTAAGGCAACCCGTTCTCGACGAACATGTGAATCCATGTGAATCGTCTCGAGCGCGGCTTCAGTCTCTCGGACAAGCCTAACTCCCGACTCAAGATCCCAAATCAAATCTATAACCCAGCTCCACAATCTTCCCCACGGGTGCAACCCATGCGCTCTCATCCCCCGGCACAGCCAGTTCCCCATCACGGGTCCGCCAAGCAAAAGTTCATAGTTGAGAGTGGACTCCAAATACTCAAACAAACGCCTCATTCGCCTTTCAGCTGCAAGCGACCACTTCGAGGCATATCGGCCTAAGAAACCCGTAGCAAACATCATATCGGGGCG